GGTCTTTAGGCCTAACTTCATTGTACAAGTGCGAAAGGATCTGATGACCCCTTATATGATTTATTGCCCTTTAGCGTCTTTATACATACTATTAAACCTTATAACTTGAAAAGAATAAGTCGTAGAGGCATGGGGTCAATTGCATTGTGAGCCTTGACCTTTGATCTTGAATATTTTTTCAAGGTCAAAGTTCAAGGTCATTTTTTTTAAATTTTCATTTTTCCTATGCTTTAAGAGAGTTTTGGTTTCTTTTTCATGGAATTTAATTTTTAGGAGTCAGATATAAAAGAGTTCAAAGAAGGTGGAAAGACCTCTTATTGTTCTGTGAACAATAAGTCTCCTAGTTTTAACATTTTGGTGTTATGAAATAAACGTACTCCACCAAACAATTCTTCAATTACAAAATCTTCATTACTGTCCGATTACTTGCACCTTAAATTTACATTAACGTCCATTGTCAATTTTGACAAAATTAAAATTTTATTTTTTTCATAAAGGGCAGATAACTCTTGAACACTTATCTGTTATCAGTCATGTGAATTTGGTTCATTTGACTTTCATCATTAACAGGCAATGTGTTTTTAACCAATTTAAAGGTTTGAAGTTAATATTTTTTGTATAATATCACGACTTATATATTGTCATAGCATTTCACACGAAAATATATTAATATTTTTCATTTATACACCACAAGATTGCCACTTTTCCTAAGTATTAAGTATAGAATTAAAATTTGTGAAAGTGCAAGGATGTGTCTATCAAACCCGTCCAAAAATTTGAAGTTTCAGTAACTTTTCGATGAAATAAGAATTTTAATAAATTTTCGTGTGAAATGCCATTGCAATAAATATAAAAATATTGACTTAAAATCTGTTTCTATATGCACCTTTAAAATGATTCAAAATTGTTAAATAATCCCGTCGTTATACATTGAATATCTCAAAAGGACAGTCACTTATACTTACGGATTTTCACAGATGTAGTGAAGAGCATCGTGACAGTCTCTATCGAACCATCTGTAATGGGATTGGGTGTCCAGATACAGACAATGTTCTATGTTATGGGAGTTATCGGGCTGCCCATGATGCCAGTTGGTGTAACTGATCGCTTTTCCTGTAGTTTCCCAAACCCAGGCCCCCTCAGTTGTCCAGTCACTTCCTCCCAACCAGTACGTATGCCCTGTAACATAGTACCTTATGGCAAATTTTTACGTTGTACACTTTTATAGCACACAATATTCTAAAGATGTTATTTACATACAACTCTTATAGTTATCTTCTCAGAATCATTAGATTTTATACCGTTTTGTCGTTGAACCATGCTTTCTATAAAAGCTTGTTCTTCAGAACTGGAAATGTCAGCTAAAACACCACCATGTAATTCACACATTCTCTGTTTAAAAGATGTTCAAGAAAAAGGACATTTAAGAAATTTGAACATTTAAATGCTTTCGAGTCTCTTTCTACGCCACCTCACTTAAGTATTAGCTGCAATGACTGAAGGAAAACTCCGGGAGCTATGTTTAACACTTTATTCAAAATTCGAAAAGGATGTAAATCAGACGTGGATTCCATGGAAAGTTTGGAAAATTTGAGTTTATAAAATTTTACCAAATTGAATAACAAATATCACAACTTTTCATCTCCTTTTACAAGAATTCCTCAAGATAAATTTAAGTTAAAGTCCAGATTTTTTGAATCATTCACAGCTCCTTTTTCCAAAAAAAAAAAAAAATGAAATCGTAAATTTAATCATCTTGTCAAATGTCATTTGCATTTTTAAAAATACATTATGGTTGTATACACAAGTACTCTGAGGTTGAAATTAAAAAGATGCTAGAGTTTCTGATTGAACATATCTATATGGGCTTTGGAGACCAGGCCATTTTCACAAAAAAAATCTTAAGACTAAGTCAATAATTTTTCTACCCTGTAAGTTTTAGATTGAAAGAGATATTTTTTTCAAACATATTTTAAAAATTATTTTTTTTACAAAGATGAAACAAATGGAGATAACGAACAGTATTCAAGATCAAAAATCCATAAAACAATACAAAATAGGAGTAGAGCAAACACGGACCTCCAAAACATCGGAAGTGAGTCGCGTAATGTAATAGAAAATAAAGAGTTTTTGTGATCTACTACAATGTATATACGTGTTGGAGATATGTAAAATTTTGTTCTTAGTCGTGAGACGTTTTGTGAAAAGGGCCAGGTCTTGATGTGGTCTTGAACTCGACATGAACAATTAAAAAGGAGGTAAGCTACTAACAAACAAGTTAATGAAACATAAATTCAAACAGTCTCGTTTAACGTCATTATATAGTTAGTTTTATGAACCATGAACTTGTCAACAAATACAATCTATCACGAAGTCAAATGCGGACAACATTTTTCATACTAAGTTTTTAGCCTTTATTTATATACCAAGTAGTCAAAATTTTCGTTATTTCACGATCATGACAAGGAGGATACAGTAGGGTGACCAGTCGGCAGGGGATGCCCACTCTTCAATAGCAATCCAACCTCTGATGTTTTATAGGTCCATATTTGTTCTGCTACTGATAAATATTATTTGAATGGACTTTTGAGTTTGAGTATTGTTCGTTATCTCTATATGTTTTATTTTTTTTCTTTTTACTTTGACATGATCCTCTCTTTTAACTTTGTGGTGTCAAAGTTAAAAATGGTGATAGGGGTAAAGATTATATATTTTTGTCTTTTTTACTATTGCTCGATGTATAACATACCATGGCCTCCACCCAAGAAGCCTTATCGCGACTGACATGATAACAGGAGTTCTTGTTCACCGTCCAACCATTCGGACAGCCTAGGACTACGAAGGAAAAAAAAGGGTATGTTATAACTGACCAAGCATCCGATATTAATGTTGCTAAATTCTACATCTTTAATTGGCAATACATTTCAAAAAAAGTTTATGTGTGTAAATTCTCTTACCAGCGGTACTGTAGAAAAACACAGACACTAGAATCAAACCTTTTCCCATGCTTGCGTAGAAACGATACCGTAACGAAATTTTAATCCACCAGGGTCAATGCTGATAACCTAATTCTTACTTGGCTGTAACTGTCCACAACTTGATTCTTCTAATATTCTACTAACTTAGAAATTGTCCTCTTCCTAAAAGCTTCAACTACAGCATTCATATGAAACTCTTATCGATGTACTACAGGGGCTGACTCAAAAGTAGTATCCAAATCGTTAAAAATCACTGATAATTGGATTGTATCAGTATAAATTTATGAACATGTACCTACATGTAAATATACAGTATATATGATATTAATTATTGTTTAAAATAATAATAATTTAAAATAAAATTGTAGATTTTTCATACTTACCATTTACTGAGTAATCAGCATTGATTATACCCCCCGCTTGAAAAGTGGGAGGGTATATAGTAATCGGTATTTCCGTCCGTCCGTTAGTCTGTTACGCTTTGGGGTACCCATCTCTTATCCGCAACTCCTTTTATACCACTGAGTGAAATTTAATGAAACTTTCACAGAATCTTTATTACATATTGCCATTGTGCACCTCCTATTTTACTTTTTGATCCGACACATATTTTGGTTTTCCCAGCCACAACAAAACAAAGACTTTTCCATTATAATCATATGGGAGGCGGGGGGTATCATTTAGTGAGCTCATTGCTCACAGTACCTCTAGTTTGAATTTTCGTCACTAATGTTCTGTTATACAAATGTAACAATTTTCTCTCACGCGTTTATTTTGTTTATAAAATATCCGTAGCAAAGACTCCCTCGGTGGGTAAGGCTAACACATCTGTTTGATATTTGGATATTATACAACAAAAAAGATGTTGATTGGAATATAACGACACACTTTATGATGAACGTGATGACTATAACTTTTCAATTGTCAACTTCTCTTACTTGTGAAGTAATTAACCTTTATCACCCGCAAACGGGATTTATATCTATCAGTTGATTCGAAACACAAGAGCATGCACTTCGAACGAACAAATTTCTAAAAGGACGCAAGGTATTCAAAAACAAGTTGATGAAACAAGGGTATCGAAGCTCTTGTTAATTTAAAGTCTACATTTCGAAAGTTAAATGGTCAATACAGTGACCGTATCAGCAATTACAATTTATCACAATATCAAATGCTGACTGATTTTTTTTTAAAAATTAGCTGTATGCGCATTGTTTACACACTGAATATTTCCGTTATTTCCCGATCATTGCATGGAATACACGCGGAGTGGCTAGGGATGCTTACTCCTCCACAACACCTAACCCCACATTTGATGTTTGTGTCTATGTTTGCTCTACTCCCTATATATAGTTTATAGTTTGTATAGGTTATATGGACCTTGGATCTTGGATACTGTTCTTTAGTTCTATATTTCATCATAGACCGTTATATTTTATTGAACATTTCAATACCTTATTTTAAATTAAGTTTGCTTTGCAAAACTTTTATCCTTTTGCATCTATTTTTAATGGAATTAACATTAAATATTCACTGATCGTCCATATTCTTTCTTCGCCGCATCATCGGACGGCGGGATGAGTATATACACTTTAATACAAAACTAACAAATATTTTCGAAAAAATCCTTCGCAACTTTAAAAAATGCACGTTACAATAAAGCCAACAGACTCAATCACAAAATCAACATACCCCACTGCAAAATGTACGCCAGCCAATGAAAAAAGCGAAAGTCTTACCGAATTGACCCTAAAAAGCGCGTATAATTAATTACATAGCTAGATAAATGCAAATTCTGTAATTAAGAATTTTATCAATTTGTAATCTCTTAATTTGTAATACTTCCGATTTAAACCTTCACGTCTTTTTAACACTATCCCGTGCAAAATGGTAAAAAGAGCTCTGTCGATATAAAATTGTTTTATATTTTGATTATGTTTTTGCTAATTAATCGTTCGATTTGCAAAAAAATTCGTTTTATTCTTTTGGTCGCCCATACATCTGTCTATTATATGATTTCAAATGACCCTTTTCAAAGTTTTTTTTAATTTTAAAAACTTTATCTTTTACCTTCTTTTAAGTCATAATAAAGAAAATCAATGCGGTTCGAAGCATGAAAATCAATGAGTAAGAGGAAGTTTAACATCATTTGGAGATATTGAACTGAAAACGACTACCGAAGAGTTACACATAAATAATGATGAAATTGCATCATGCATCTGAAGAGTTTTTTTGTTGTTGTTGTTGTTGTTGTAAGGATCGTTGCTATTTTTTAGCAACTTAGACAAACGAAACAACACTCTAACATAAACAAATAATTGAGCAATGGATAAAAGTGATATTTATTGTACTGGTGAATGACAGAACATCTCAGGAGATACTTTTATCAAACAAGACTGCCTATCACGATGTTTCTGCATCAGGAACAAGTAACAGTTAAAACAGCTTATATATGAATATCTGAGACTGATATAAACGGGCATCTGAAACATTCAATATACACAAAAACACACCCTCTCATACCACACACATACGTGTGAAGGGTGTCAAACGGGGACAGGGGTTAAAGACTGTCAAAGTGGGGACTTCTTTATTTTTAACATTTCATTGACTTTTGACCTAAAACATTAATCACCCTGTAATCCTGATGACAAATATAATGAGAACATATCAATATCTTTGATTTTAAGCGAAGCACATTTCACAGCACAAACGGGGACCTATTTTACACTCATTAATATTCACACACCAGTTCTTGTTATATTGTATCTAAACGGGGACATTTTCCAAAATGAACAAAACACCCTCTTTTGTGCCCTTTATTCACTTATTACCACCGGTTTTCATCACTGATTAAGACCCCCGTCTTCATAGGCACTTGAATGCTTAAGATTTTAAATCAAATATGGAAATAATGAATAGTTATTGCATGGTGAAAATATATATTTAAGTTTTCTTATATAGTTTTAAAATTAAGCTATCTGCATTAAATTTATCAATTTGACATCACTGACCTTGTTGCCGCAGTGGCATTGGCATGATTGATGGCATTTAAATATGGTGATTGCAATTAAGTTCACGCCTGACATTGATGTTTATGCATTTGCTTTATTTTTTTTTATTTTTCAAATCTTTTGTTAAGTATTGAACAAGTAAAATGATTGTCATTTGACATACTTGCAACTATAAAAATATAACACAATGTCTGAAGAGGGCAATGATAGTACCACTCCGCAAAATGACCCAATTAAAAATGAAAAAAAAAGAAAAGAAGAATCTAATTTGGCCTTATGATTATGGTCATGCTATTGAATATAATCGATAAACACTTTAAAATCAAATCCAGTGCATTTACATACATGTATACTCGTCATTATTACAGAAGCGGGGTTCGACGACTTCTTTAAAATATTTACATTTATACATTGCATCTTTGAGGCACTTTTATAAAAACATTACACATTTATTGACTAAGTTCGGACCCAAGAACCTAAAGAACCAAAAAGGCCGTTAGGTTCGAGGGTCGACAAAACGCATTTTGCTCGAGAACATAGTCAATAAATGTTTTGTTATACCTTTCATTTTTTAATTTTTTGGACATACATGCATTTTGTACTGTCTTCCGTAATGTAACCTCAGATTCGTCGCTGTTAAACACCAACGAATGAAAATGTGATTAAGCTCCGCCCATTCTGTGATGTAAGCGGTTCAACATCTCATAGACCGGTCCAACATCTCACTCAGCGTCCAATAAAGATTTTTTTTTTATGCCAGCTCAGTTAAGCATTTAAAATCTTTTTATCGTACAGATATGTATAGGAACAATTATTTTAAGGTATAACAATAAATAAAAAAATCTTTCAAAGCAAAGACAGTTTAGAAAGGAATTAATTTATCTTTTAATTTCAAAACCTTCCAACAATTATCTATTTTTTGTTTCACACAGAAAACCGATGATCCGGAAGTATTACCTTTTTTTAATTGCAACAGATTTTTATGACTACTACATTTTATTAAATTCAAATCATTTTTTTATAAGAAATATACAAATGAACTAAATTAACGTAAATTAAAAAAAAATCAGGAGTAAAATATGTTTTGCACAATCGTTGCTTAAATTATAAAAGAAAATTTACAAGACATTTCAGTTGCGACTGCTGCAAATAGGGTACTTTTGACAAACTTTTTGCAAAACATCTGATTGCTTGAGATATGAATACAAACGAGCACCCTCGTCCTTATTGTTTAAAAATTTATCTGAAAAAAGTTGGCACTTGTGTTATAGAGATGGATTTCCCCTAGAGTAGAATCCCTCCCCCTCCCCCCAGGCGAAATCACACCAGAGCCAAATTACACCTTCTCTCTTTCTTATGCAGAATTGTTATAGAGTCTATATAAACCACAGCTGCATTATTATAAAATAAACGACAAACAGATTTTTAAATGAAAAATGAGTGTATTTCAACTTGTATAGTAAGAATTATATTTCAAATCATTGAGTCCCAACCCAAAAGTTTAGCTTTGTAAAGAAATGCAAATCTCCTCAGATTAGAAGGTTTAGAAGTATTAATGGCTCAGGGCGTCTCCATATGAGTGAAAAATTCTCGAGAGGGGCGTTAAACAACATACAATCAATCAATCAATCAATCAATCTAATGGCTCAGCGGTAGGTGTACATGTGAATGGACTAATCCCCAAAAGATAGACTGATCCCCGTGCGTTTAGTCCGGAAGTTAATCCCCGTTCATTCGTAATCCTGTATTTTTCTTTAATTATATATCAATATAATAAAACAGTCAAAAAGTATATAATTGGTGAGTTAGCAAGATTATAATTCCCCATGACCAGGACTATTTCCCGAGACGCATCCACTATTATCCACTGACTAATGAAATCACGCCCTCAAACGTAGCAACAATCAACTCTGCTTGATGACGGTGACATTACAAAAAATATTGACTGTGCAGAATTCATGCACACAAGGTTCATTGTAATATATTTTCATAGAATATTAAGAATATTATAATGCATAAAGCATGC